CTGTGTCACAGGATGAGTGAATGACGCTGGTCGCTGACACCGGGCGCGCTGCTCTTTGGGCTGGGTGTCAGGTTGCGGACCTTGGCCCATGTCTGGTCCTTATGGAGAGTCACCTGCCCTGATAAGAGGAATGCTGTGACTGACGTGGCTAATGACGGCAGCACTGACTCCAGCAGCAGCTCTGCATAGCGTGTTAGGTGTCAGCGGGAGCTTTTCGTGTAGAACTCTGAGGGCCTTTTTGTGCATGTAAATATACATGCAGCGTACACAACATATTTGTTTATGTGTCCTCGGTGGTTGTTTTGACATGGGACACCTGCTGCCTGACGATAAACGATTGCGATCCACTGTTCCTGCATGATGCGAAAACTGGTCCAGACTAAATAGCTTCATTATTTTGTTCCTTCACTCTTTTTAATTCCCTAACCCAAGCTGACACTGAAAAACTCAACCAAACTCTATATTAGAGGGGATGTGGCGATAGGTGGAGGTGAAGTAGCCGGACTTTTGAGTGCGCTTGAACACTGAACACGTCCTTCTTTTAATATTCTTGTAAATTTTCCTTCGGGGTTCACAGGGGACACTGCTCAGATGTCAGCGACTCGCCCTCCTTCTTTTTTCTTCTTCTCTTCTTCTTGTGGAGAGTCCAGCAGGCAGTCGCCATCAACAGCAGCACAATGCCCATGACAAGTAACACCACAGATACAACTTTAGTCTGTGGCAGGTCATTGTAAGTGTAGGTCACCCCTGTTCCTGCAACTCCGATTACCAAAGAAATGATTCCAAACGGAAAGATACAGCGATACCAGGACTTCTCCATGCCTCCAGTGGCTTGGGACAAACGCTCCAAGGAGGAGAGTACTTCAGGAACTTTGGCACCACTAGCTTCAAAGGACTGATTTTCCTGCCCAGAGTTCATCTGGGGTTGTGGTTGGCAAGTAAAATGGCCCGTTGTGCAGCCCATCCTTAAATGTGCAGGCTAGCAGAGCCCAGCTGGATCAGCTGCGTTGCTTTTGGGGATCCTAGTTGTAGTCAGCTCTGGCCTGTGAAAAGAAAAGGAGATAAAGGCAGAAAGGTCCGTGTGAAACTGAGGAAATTCTTCAAGGTAATATGGCTGGAACAGGAAGGCCTCAAAGTCAAGGCTGAAATCCACTCACAGTGTCCCCTTCTCGTCTTCCCTCTCTGCAGTGCCTCTCCACACGGGCTGCTGACTCTTCGGCAGCACATTGTTCACTCTGCACACTGTAGTGCCAGGGAATATATATATAACTCACAGAGGGAATGGGAGGAGCAAGACATGAAAAACTGGGTTGTCCACGCATCATGATTGGTTCTGTTCGGATGACATCAGACGCTAAAGAAACGAGAATAGGGGTTGAGGAAGCGCAGAAAGGGGGAGGGGAGAGAGGTCTTTACTGCTCCTTTTTTCCTTCATTCCCCATCACTGCATCTTAATTCAAGTTTGTTTTTTTTGTCTGTTTTTCTAGAGGAAATGAAATCCTCCCCACGGGAACTAAAAAGCCTGCCTGCGTGTAGAAATTATAACGGAGGGAAATTTATGCTTTTCTCTGTTTATTACTTGAAACTGGATTCATTACATCCATGCTGCCATCATTTTCAAATGGAGAAAAAGCAACCTCCCACACAATTTATGACAGTCATGTAAACACCTGAGAAACAGTTTGTAGCAAAACATCAGATACACAGATACACAGCACTGTTGCAGTCGGAGTGTAAATGCACGGGTGCTCACTCGAGATGGAAAACAGAGGCAGCCCCCTGTCATTTCCCACCCACGCACGCTACAAATGTCAGTTCTTTCTGAATGAACAACAACAGGGTGGTAGTTCGTCTCTCTGGTTGCTTTTTCACGACAATAACGTCCACAAAAACAGCTTCATTTTCCTAGATTGACAATCGTTTCTTTACACCATAAAAACTGAGTTAGAAAAGGACTAATGTGGGTACAGATCTGAAAATCTGTATTTATCTGCTGGCAATATTGTCGCCCGCCACCGATGATGATAATGTTTTATATATGTTTCTGTGTCTGATCGTTTACCAAAATATGTCAAAAACCAGTTGATGAATATTAATCAGACTTTTTGAATAGATACCTACAACTAAACTTGTAAAGTCAACTTTAGAAAAATGTCCACCACAGCTAAGCTAGGCCTGTCGTGATAAACAATAAATCAATTAATCGCATAATAAATTTTTGTTTATCGGCGTTATAGTTTCTTCGTGTCTCTCCCTTTCTACTGAAGACACTGGATGACCAAAGGCTCAACTCCAGTGCTTCATTGACCCCTCCCTTTCTCTTTCAAATCTGTTTTAACCATTTAAAATCACGTCTTTGGATCGTTAAAAGCAGCTAAGCTGAGAAGCTAAGCTACGAGCTAAGCTAACAGGCCGACCTCGGGAAAAAAAACCTCCGTCTTGTTGAAGCTCCAAAATTCACGGTTGAAACCCGTGCCTTCGTGTAAAAAGTTGTTTTTTCCTGCAAAAAGAAGCTGAGAACTTGTTTATTGATTTTTTAATTAAAAGCTTTGTGTAACAAATGCTATGCTAAAGAGCTCCAACTACACCAAGCGTCCACCATTTTGAGAATTAAAAAAAAGGAAAGAGGGACAGCCCATGTCACGTCAAGGGGCCTCCCTCCCATTGTTCTTAAAGAGACACGCTGCTCGCTCCCTCACTATCCATCCTTCGGTTCAAACAGCCTTATATGGCCATCCAGTGGTCAAAAAAGGTACTACACTCAAAACAAATTAACCATCATTTCTTCTTAAATTTGACAATTACTAATTATTGTCAAATTTCAAACAATATCATTTATTGCAATAATTTCTCAGACAATTAATCGCCCAGCAAAATTTATCGTGACAGGCCTAAGCAATATCAGCCAATACAAATACTTCAATATCACACACGCTTGCATATTGGTTTTATCAAAAAGGACATAATTCAATCGTATTTCAGCATAAAATTATCTTAGGTTAAAACTGACATGACAGGTGATGGGCAATAAGCATTCCTTCAAGAACTGCTAGGCCTTTAACTTCTCCCATTTTTTTTTGTTTCATGAAAAAAAAGGAAGCAAAAACAAGTTTAACATTTGTTGTGAGTATTTTCATAAAAAGCACAAGTCCAAAAAGTCAACTCAAACTATTGTTCATTACAGCTAGGATACCAACTATGTAGAAATCGGTAGTCTCCCCCCGCCTCCACACACACGCATTGCAACATAGCTATTTAATTATAATTCTTTAAATATTTCCTTTAGTATTTATAAAATATCAGCATGACTTCAGCTTGGTGACACATCTGCACCCCATATTTAAATCAAAGCATTTTTCTTCAGAACTGTTAAAGCATGCATGGCACACATTAGGAAATTCAAATACCCTTTAAAAATGAAAGGCATGATTCTGTCGGCACAGGAAACCTGTTGTCAAGATACTGGAAGGGAAAAACGCTGGATTAGACTGGCCGATCGGTGGGAGCAACTAAACAGCGACTTAACAAGCAGCAGCCCAGCTGAAGACATGAGCCAAAGACAAATAAAAGAGAGAGAAGCAGGAATGTGTTTGTGACGTGCAGGGTTTAGAGAAGAAAGGCGATGTTCAAAAGCTGCAGGCTTTCTGAGGAAGAGAAGTGGATTCTTTTAAACACGGTTTGGTTTCTGTGGATTCAAACTTGGACTCACTTGTTGAGGTGCACTTGGATATAGAAAAAATAGAAGGTTTTAAAAAAGCAGAGGATAAATGATTAGATACTTTCATTCGTTTGTGAGTGAGAATGTGTGACAGAAAGAAATATTTTCCATAAAAAGAAAAAAGGCGTGAGAAGAAAGCAACAAAGCCATGAGACGTGGTTAACCTGGGCAGGGCCAGGCCACTGGTGGGAGTAGGAAAGCTCTGCTGGTGAGAGTCAAAGCCAGGCAGCAGCTGATGTGTGCGGTTCACAGGAAAGATGAGTTGCGTAGGCACCACTCCCACTGGGACCTGTGTGTAGTGTTGACAAGATCTGTAAGATGCTTCCCTGCCTCCTCCTTAACTCCATTTTCACACACAGATCTAACGGAGAGACAGCTGCACGGAGCTGTAGTCACATCCAGATGATGTGGCTGCAGTCCATAGTGGGACATTTTCTGCAGCTGTTCCAGAGCTCAGCTGCATTAATGTGTCTTTGTTATGTACATAGCAGGCTATCCAAGACTGAAATAGTCCTCTCCCTTATAAAATCTTATTTTTGTCCCTCTCTTCAGGGAAACTTGCCATCTCAAGCTTGTGGCGTGCAGAGAGCCAGGTCCCAGAGCACGTCGTCTGTGACTCAGCCGGCTCTGGGTGTGCATGTCCCTATGTCTGTGTGTGCAATGAGGGTTGGTGCAGCAGAGCTCAAACACCCACGTCCTGCTGTGTGAACCCAGCGCCACCTGTTGTCTGGTCTGCCAAAGCCCCTGCCGTCCACACGTCATCTGTGGGCCCCCCTGTGTCTCACATACGCCCTCACATCACATTTGGAGCAGAAGAAACCACAGATATCAAATCAAAGGCACAGTATTGGGTCCATATGTCCTTCACATGTACTGTATGTTTCTGTGCATTACACAAAACCATATGGGGGAAACACTGAGGGTATGGATAGAGCTCCTGCTTTATATTGTTTTGACACTGAAACAGACTGAAAGAGTAAAAGAGATGCAGGCTTTAAAGACTCATCAAACTGGAACTAAAGGAAAATGACCCTGCGGTCATTATAAATTCATTATGTTTTCAGTGAAATGAATAAATCAAGATGTTCATTGTTCACTCGAATCTACTGCTCAAGAGGTCAACAAGCATTCAGCTCACCACCTACTATAAACTACTCTTGGTATTAGAGCAGATCTGTTTTTCGTTTGAATGTAAAGTTAGGTCAGGGATTTGAATGTGTCATACCTGTGGAAATGCAGATTCATTATTCACACTAGTGTTTCTTGTTTTTATTTATTTGGTAGGTTTTTGTAGCCTATTTCTACACACTTTGGGCTATTTTAGCCATTTGTGTACATTCAGCTCAATCATGAAACGAGCCGTATGACTTTTGGTTTTAGTAACATCTATACTTTTCAAAACATTGAACTTCAGTTACAAATCATCAAAGTTCTTGCTCAATGATCCAGGTTAAAAAAAAAAATCCATTAAAGTTAAAAGTCAGGTCCACTGGATGGTTTCTTTTTGTTGTACTTTGATGTTTTGAACCACTTTGTTCATGGCTGCCTGAGACGAGTCAGTGGGGGAGAGGGTGGACTCCAGAAACCATCTTAGCACCATCAAACTGGTTAACCCACTATGTGTAGGTGCTATTTATAAGACTGAGTTTGTTGTGGCTCCTCAGACTGATGAAGTCTCAGATGAAGGATGAAACGTTTCAACAAAAAGAAACCGTCCAGAGGACCTGACTTCACTTTGTTGGGTTCATTTACAAATATTTTCCCCACAGAAAAACACTGTGATCTCCTGAATTCCCTCAAAAACATATTCGCTTTAAAATCTGCTTCTGCATACTTAGTTTTTAGCTAACATTTCCCTACTTTTAACATCAGCTACCATTTTGCCACTTTTATCCATTAGTTTGCTCTTACTACTTTGTTTTAATTAAGATTCTGCTACTTGAGCTTGCCTTTGTCATTTTTGGCTTTTACCTAATGTTTAGCTACGTTTAACTGTTAGTAAGCATTTTGTTTCTTTTAGCTTAACAACTTAATCTAGGTTCAAAAAAAGTTCAGGACAAAAAACTGGACTTTATTTGTAACAGAAGATGTTTAATTTCTCATCCGAGGAGCTTTGAAGCTCCTCGGATGAGAAATGAAACGTCTTCTGTTACAAATAAAGAAAGTCCAGTTGTTTTTTTGTCCTGAACATTTTTTAATTTACCATTTCCTGGATGATTGAGAATCTTCATCAGCGTAACTTACTCTAGGCAAATAGGTTTAGCTTTAACAAGTTTTCCTAAAAGCTTTTAGCTTTAACAACACAGTTTCAGCATCTACAGGAAATTTCCACAAAGTCATTTAGCACTCAACATTCACACTGAATTTTCTCCAAAAATGCAACTTCACTACTGGTAGTTTACATTCTGACACAACAGTAACGCCTAAACAAACGTAACTATTTGGTGAATCCAGGCCACTTCATGCAGACTGCCACTTTCTGGCACAATTGAAAACATTTTTTTATTATCTGCAGTAATAACTGTGATGTGACATAGTTGAGGAAAAAACAATTTAAAAAAAGTGCACATACTTTATTTACAGAAGCAAAAACATTAAGTGGGATGAGAATTCTTCCTAAAATAAGACGTTTCAATCAGGTCTCTCTTGTGACTGAGTCCCCGAGGCTCAATGGGATTAACCTGTATAAATAAAGGTTGAATGAATTTCCACTCTTAAATCTAGACACTCTAAGGTAGAGGTGTCGAACTCAGTTACCAAAAGGAGCCAAAATTTATAAACTTTGTCCGAGCCATGGGTCACTTTCACTTTCAGCCGATACATTATCTCGAGTCAGATACCTGATATCTTTTCTTGGTTGCAGGTTCATGAACAAGAGTTCGATCTGTCTCACTTGACATTCTGCTACTCTTTCCACATCAGAATCAATAATGACAGAATCATCCAGCCTTCTTTCTGGCTTCAAAGTTTGCCAGCTGGCAATAGAAGCCTATACTAAATTATGTATTTATCATTTTTTTAAGAAAAAAAATGAGAAAAGAGACAATATTTTACATTTAAATTATCATCTTGGTGTACCAGATTTGGCCCGCGGCTCTTGAGTTTAACATATGTGCTCTAAGGATTGACAGCCTTTTATATTTGTTAAAATTACACAAATCAAATATATATATATATATATATATATATATATATATATATATACACATATATATATATATATATCTATATATATATATATATATACACATACATATATATATATATATATATATATATATGAGTATATTGTGTGTATATATAAAACTATTTTTTATATTAAATTATCACACACAACAGTCAAGAAAAGCTGAAAGTCGTGAAATGACAGCACATAAAAAGCATTTTTATCAGCTACCTTTGTGATTTGACTGAAAGTTAGAGCCTCTTCAAGTGTGCATGACCGTCCTTTTATTAGCTCTTACACATCCTTAATATATGAGATCATTTGAAGAAGGAGGATGTTGCATATATTACTTTAAACAGATCAGATGCAACACAGACAAAAATGTGCATTTTCTGTTTGCAGGGACAGTTCAACATGCTTATGTGTACTCATTATGTCACAACAATGAGAAATTTTTCATATTTGCATACCTGTTGCTAAGCTAACAAATTGTTAACTCTCAGAGTAACATGCTTGGTGGGTAATCAGGCTGAGTCCAGGACTATAGCAGGGAAACGCTCCCCTCCTTCACCAAGCAGGGAGTACATGTCTCTTAGTACACTGGGACTGGGACATGTGGGTCCAGATACTATGGATGAAAACTGAGAAGAGAGTGTGTCCAACAGAACCTGACAAACAACAGAAAAGACAGTGAGAAAACTATTCTGAACTTTTTTTTTATTACTACTTGGAAAAAAAAATGGATGAGCAATTATTTAATGACGCTAGGAATCTGAAAAACTCTTTTCTCGTGTTCTTCAAAACGCAGCGCCCACCTGCTCAAGCTGAATCTCTTGCTGCAGCTGTGCCACCCTCATCCGCAGCCTCTCCAACTCTTGTAGCTCATCTTCTGTTCTGTAGGATATAGTCAGGGGCAGGGGTGACACCATCCCATCTCCCAACACACAATTTGCTCCAGTGGGGCAAAGACAACCTCCCTCGGGCCTCCATCGATCCCATGCTTTCCACTCTGGTGGAAAATAAGTTATTTTTAGAGCGTCAGCAACTGTACCCTAAGACATATTTCTACTCTGCTGCCTCAGCTTTAAATAACTGGGTCTTTGCCTCGAGAGATGGCTTTAAAATCCCACTGTCATGAGGGGGGATGCTGGGTGTCTGATGAGGACAAGGAAAGTACTGATCTGGTACCAAGGTTTCACTGTGGCTCTGTTTTCATTTTCCACATGCCAACGTGGACAGGCTGCATTAGCTCATTAGCAAAGCACACTCATCGCAATCATTTTTCAAATGATGGTAAGATGCAATAATAAAAACGTCTCTTGGAACTTATAAAATGGCTCTAAAAATTTGGAGGCAAAATTGGCTGAATATAAAACTCCCGGTAAATGTGGCATTTGGGCTTGAATTTACAAAATAAAGAAAATCTGCTTCCCCAAAGGTGATCAGATCATTTAAGAGGTTCAAATGGAAGATCTGTGGCCACTTACTGTAACCGTATCTCTGGAGATAATAAAAGTTAAGAGCATACTTTAGATTCTGACTCATTGATACCTATGAGTGATATCACACGAAGTACGGTCAAAAATATGACTCAGTACTTCCTACATCTTATATGTCATGTTCAGATAAGATTCTTACCTTTTTTCACTTGGTCTGCAAAGATCTGGAGCTCTGCTGCTGTTTGCTGCAACCTTTCAAGTGTCGGACAGGAATCAGAGTAGATCTTATCACCTGTAGAGGTACATGATTGAAAGAAAACAAGTTTTAATGGTCAAATTACTGTAAAAACACAAAATGCATATATGTGCATA